CCCTCCAACCACGATCTCATTTAGTAGCATAATATAATTTTACATCATAATTTTTCTTGTTGCCTAGTAGCCGACTGCTAGCTTTCCGGAACGATGCCCATTCGTTGCTGGTAGCTCAGCTGGAATGCTACTGTTGTATTTATTTTCTTTTTTCTTTTGTGTATTACGGCACAGTAGCTGAAGTGTATTACACCTCTAGCTAACGTGTATACTGATAATGAATGAGGCATAAACCAGAGGATTGGTTTGCGGTCGGTTAAATCTTACAAGATCAAGTCAAGGTTTGTTAGGGCAAATACGTTTCGGTCATTAGCAATGCTGACCCACTTTCTACTAGATCTACTAAGTACATCACGTTATATTGTTTAAAACTTAAACTACTGCAACTGTACTGAATAAAGCCTTCTAAACATGATTGGGTCAACATCATTTCAAGCATAACATTCTCAAGTGCCCTCAGATTTCAAACGGTGTGCTTGCATTTATTTTAGCCTTTCTATGGTATCGATCCGACGCTAATATCTATAGTGCAGTTGCCTGTTCGAAATAAACCAACTGTGCAGGTAGGCGGCCAATCGTGAATGAACGATGGCAAACAAAGAAACACGCAGGATAAGCATTCGCCGACGGGATAGATGCTTCGTGTTGCACTCGCTTTAGTGCACTGCAGACTGTTTTCGCACTAGTTTTCACTCGTCCGATAGATTGGAGGGTCTTGACTCCAGCCTTTGCCCCTTTCACATTTCAAAGAGTTCAAAGTGACCTTACCATAAGTTTAGTAACTAGTATCCACCATAACTATACCTAAAGTGGCGCGGAGGCGATGTCTAGTTAGGGGAGGCATAAGCGCGTGTAACATAACTAATGTCTTGCCGCTCGAGAGCTTTCTGTCTACCACAAGGACTTGTGCGTTATCCAAGACAAATGCTGGAAAGGTTCGACCAACCAAGCCGCTTGATCCCCATCGATGGTAATGAAACTATAAGTTCAACTCTTCTACATAGTAATCCGCAATCAAATAGGTAAATCTCCGGTGGTTACATCTCCCCAACAACCAGCAATGTTTTTCCACATGCATAAGCCGTGTTAGTTGGTCGTCAAAGTATTCCTGTTTGGACGACCGGAAATAGTGGCTCCGGACCACTTGCTTCTCTGGATTGTAGTGGTCTCATTAGCTTGTGCATTGTTTCGCTGTTGATGCGAAGTAATGAGCATTTTGTGCTCCAGCTTATTTGCTATTTCGGATTTTGGTCGGTTTTGGTTACTTGAGGTACCGGTTCAGTATCCTGCACAGTTTCAAAAACTCTACGTCGCGCTCCCCATCATTGTGCCTACGGCGAGGGCAATTAATCTAAACTATTTTTTGTTGTTGATCTGTTGTGCGACTATCAGGAGGTGATCCATTTCACCCCGAGCAAAGTATTCATTATCCGCCCTTTTGTATATGATTCGCCGCTTCGTACTGTAAGTTGCTGTAAAATGCTGACCGGCATTTCCATGTCACTCCAACTATTTTGCAACGTGATGCATCCGGTTTCCACGTGCTGAGTTTATTAAAATTCCGCCACAAGAGAAAAAGCCCGGCTTAATTAGTCCGACCGTTGTTGTTGTCGTCGTTCTCGTCGTCAGAAAAGCGCTTTTCTTAGACAGCATTGATTATGTTGAACCGTACACAGTACTGTCGATCGAACCTGCCGCACGGATCCACTTATTGATCGATGTCTATCAGTCAGGATAGCTTTGTTCCTGCTAGAATGGAATTTCGGCACTTATATCAATGCCACCCCTGGTAGACGTTGTCCGCTTCTCTACGCTCGCGTTTGGCTTCTGTCCGGACTCTCAGCCTGTTGATTACGTAACTTTTATGTGTCACGCGCGTTGATTTTGCATGTTTCTGCCGATTACATCTCCTCATACCCCTCATACTCTAATCTGGTTGACCTTTCAACCACCGCGTCCACAAGTTCCTAATGTAAGTATGCCACAGAAAACTGGTGTATTTCATGTCGTATTAGATACCCCTCTCACTAGGATGCAATGCTAAGTCCTACCTCTTATTTTCGAAAGCGAAATGCATAGGTTTGTGTGTTGTTATTTTGTTGTGCAATCCTCGGGTGTACTCTAAACTCATGCCCCAATCCCACTTAATTGTCAGTCGCTATTTCCCACCGATATTGCCCCACTTGCAAAAATTGCTTGCAGCAACGACTTCATAGTTCTCATATTTTAAAATATACGTATCTGAAGGAGTTGCAACCGTTGTGAATTCCGAAGAATTTCGTATCACAATTAATGGTGCAAGCATCAATGGAATGGAATCATAAGCTTTTTTGTACAGTAGTTCTTAAAAACCAGTTTGCATTCTCTTTGTACGTTATGATTGGACCAAATTAGGTGGCCCGTATCTCACGTATTTGAAGAATATGGCAACTTAATTTGATGGGTCCAGCACACGGGTTCCGAATCGTCGATTTGATGGTGTCTCTGAATCTTTCTATAGGGTTTCCGCGCATGTATGGTTATCTACGCTAGATAACAATATTAAAACCTGCAGTCATTTCAGATGTCTTCACCTTACTCGGCTTCTTTCACTCCCGGTTGCTTCATTGCTTCTATTTTGGGCAGACACGATCGCGGCATTCCAACTATGTGCTACGCTGTGTAGATACCTTCACCCTAAATGCTTGCTGAAGGTATTTAAACGTTATGCTAGGTCCCCTTTCTCTCCATTTAATCATTCTTCATTTCCCAGGTCGCTGTGTTTGTACGGCACAATAGCATCAGTCCCGATTACTGACGTACTTCTGTTGATGATGTTGGTGGTGGTGAGGAGTATGCTTTTATTTACGTACATCTATCACCCACTAGACTATACGAGGTACCATTCTTCGAGTACCAGATTGATGAATGATTATCGCTAATGGTAAAAATACCAATGTATGTCTCTCGATAAAACGAAAAACGGTTCTCGTGATGTGATCGGATCGTTATACAGAGTCTAGAGTTCAGGACTGCTTAGTTCAGTCCATTTTCATTGTATAAGTATACCTAATTACGGATACTTGATTGCCCACAGCTGAGTATTGCAATGCTGACCAGAAATCGAATCGCAGAGAAAACGAACATGTAGCCACAGATCTGCACATTTATCCTTCTCAGTTCGCGTCATGTACCTATCCTAGCTATCATCTAAAAGGGTTTACACTGGATATAGGGTGTGTGGATGGAGCTGTGGGTGGTGCGGCGCAAGCCACTCATGGTCCCTCTGTAAGCGCAGACGTCCTGTGGCTGTTCTTGTAGAGGCCACGGTGACAGGCAAATCCGGAACTGGATGCCACCAACCATCTAAAATGGACGGGATTGATGAAATTCGACAGAATTCTCCTTGTGTTGTCTTGTTGAACAAGACGGTGTGTGTGATGAAGTATGATGTGTACAGATGACAAAAATGTATTACAACTGAAGTAATATTAAAGAGTAGGTATCAAGAAGAAGTTGTATTTGAGATAACGCTGGATTAGAGTAGCCGGGTGTAATGCTCCTAAATGGAATCCATTTTGGAATTCAACAGAAATCAGCCAATGGGTGAGAAGACACAAGTGCCTCAAGTGCAAAGTCTGCTTTGTTCGCATTGAGTGCTGCACCTAAAACCAACAGTTAAGAGAAGGAAGCTGTAAGAAAACTTCGGGTGTTGATGCTTCCACCATCCGATGACTGAATCAACGCCTCTGCAGACAGCTCGACTTTGTTTTTCTCGTTATTACAAACGATGACCTTGGATTCCCCGGTATCTTATTGATTCTCTTTGGTTCCATTTTCATTCCGCTTTTTGTCTGCATGCGGCTGATTGAGAAGACTCGAAATGACCTGAATTCATGTTATCCCACTCGTGATGTTTGATCTTGCTATCTTAAAGGATGAGTGTGCGTTGGACGGGAGAAGCCAAAAGAATACAGTGTAATCGTTGCGGTGTGTGCACATGCAGTAATCTCGGTTTTTTGTTTTATTTTGTAGTGGTTGGAATTGGGACGATACTCGTCTTTTAAGTGGGCTGACTTTATGAGTCATTGTCGTGCTTCAACCATCCTGTGAGACACCTTTGAGTCAAAAGCTTTAGTTGAGGACTTTACTAGTCATCACCTCTAAGTTTCCCCCTGGCAGTATCCCCGTTCATTTGAACTCAGGATCTTTTCAGCAGACCTTAACCGTATTTTTGTTCGTCGCAATCAGCCGACAATTCAGATATGTCGACCAGCTGTCCGGAAAAGCACCAGACGGCCGTTTCGCCCTACTGGGGCTCATCAGTGGTGCGCATCCTTCGGTCCTCTACGGAGGATCGAACCCATGACTGCTAGTGGCACTTGCCAACTGGCCCGCAGCTTATGCAACTGCGCCATGGCGGACGGTATCTGACTATCGTGAATTGTTAGCTAAATGCGATATAGCCCGACGCATCCTCCACTGCCATGCAGGCACCTGACATGCAGATGACAGCGGTCGGCCTTCCGGCGTCAGGACTTCCAGGTTACGGCAGCTATGAATCGACATAGCATTTTGTGGAATCCGTACGGGCGAATTGGTATTACTTATGAATGGAAGGATGTTGGTGAGTATTTTTGTTCGTCGCAATCAGCCGAAAATTCAGATATGTCGACCAGCTGTCCGGAAAAGCACCAGACGGCCGTTTTGCCCTACTGGGGCTCATCAGTGGTGCGCATCCTTCGGTCCTCTGCGGAGGATCGAACCCATGACTGCTAGTGGCTATTGCTAACTAGCCCGCAGCTTATGCAACTGCGCCATGGCGGACGGTATCTAACTATCGTGAATTGTTAGCTAAATGCGATATAGCCCAACGGCTGATTGCGACGAACAAAAATACTCATCAAAATCCTTCCATTCATAAGTAAGGCCTTAACCGTACTCGTCATCGGCCGTCGCACAGTCTCAATTGGGTCACCTTATCCACTGCATACTGGACAACCCAGAATGATCTGCTGTTTATGCCTCCATTATTTTCCTTTTTAATTGTTTCACTGCACTACTATCTTCGGTTGTGCTCCCTTCCAATTTTCAGCATTCGAACTATGGGATCTGCCGCCTTACACATCTGCCAGGTCGCCGCCGGAAGTGGAGATGCATTCTTCGAGTTTGGTATTCACTGCTGGGATTATGCAGCAGCCATGTTGATTGTACGTGAAGCTGGCGGATACTGCTGCAATTATGATGGCAAGTTCCCCTCTTTGTCTATGAACAGCATTACCATTTGACCGGCCGATCGTCTTAAACGCATTTCGTTGCTCATTTACCTGCGCGTGTGATCGGCACTCCCTCTGTATCGGTTGCGTTCACAACTCCTACTGGTGAGCATCGCTATCTTAAACCACTGTTCAGTTGCCCAATTAAGGGTATTCCAAGTCTTCAGCGCTGTAAAAACAGATTGTAATCAAGCGTACCAATCGGATCCTCAGATGTAATTGGCCGCTCATTTGCATCGAGTCTCCTGTTGACCCCATTTCACGTAACTATCGGACATGAATTTCCGGAAATAATTCCACTGTTTAGACAGTTATATGCTTGTGATGGCGACGACCTAAGCAAAGCTAACACCTCCCTGTACGTTAGGCATCATCTGGGCACTGTATTGAACTTTCTAATACTTGCTCAGTTAGTCAGTTATGTATTGTGGACTCAGTTTACAGTACGGCTGTGGCGCAGTGTGTGTCGGTCGAACGGCGCGGCACCCGCCAAGGCAAGACATCAGCAGTACGCCGACACGCAGTACCGACGCTTCCCTGCCGTGCAACCGCCATCAGTCGCACCCGGACTAAGGATACTGCAATGATCGGCCGACCCCTGCACAGGCTGGTACCCGCACCTTCGGACTACAAGGCAGAATCGTGATCCTTAAAGCTACAGGTCGGCACCTGTCAAAGTGCGTCCATGAGAATCGCACGTTGGTTACGTCAATATGACACTGGGGCTACTAATCGCTACATTTTGGCTCACCATGTCGACACTGAGCATCAAATACTACTACTACTACTACTACTACTACTACTAATAATAATAATAATAATAATAATAATAATGGGTTTATTTCGCTTTTGGTGTGAATCTGAATCCATATTTGGCGCAGATTAAATATATACAGCCAGTACCATGTGCTCTTGCATGGGCAATATGAAGTTGTGTCGAATACAAAACAGCGGTATATTTCTCGTCGGTGCGAGGTACAGTCCAACTGGGTATCACGATTTTTTGGTGTACGACTGAATCACAAGGAGCAATTATTATATTTTTATAATTTTCCAAAGCAGTTCTCAAGCTTTTTGGCGGACATGGCTAATTAGTCGATTAAAGTGTTCGGAAATATCGTGAGGTATTGAATATAGTAAGTGTAGATAAATACAACGTATAAGTGAAGTACTACAACCATCCCTGGAACCGTGTCCTGGGGACTTGCTTCCATGCGCGATATTCTCTCGATGGATTTCATCCACACTTCCATGCCCCCTCTGCCTGTGTGTCGGTGTTGCTTTTAAAGCAGATGAGCCATCACTTAGGTAACTCATATTTAGGGCTGTTTTTCTGTGTATCTAGTATGGACAGTCAAGCCACCTAGCCCGTATCGTCAATTGGTCTTTTTGAGTTAAGCACCTTTTAACACCAGTGAACCAATAGCAATGCGCCTTGCATGAGTATAATTATTAGCGTTGGAAGCTTAAATCCGACAGCTCTGGAGATCAACTCAGTCGTGGCCAACAGCGAAGTAAAGAAGAATATAAAATATGTGCGCAAGTAAGACCGATCGACTGAATTGCATAGGGGAAGTGTCGAAAACAGATAACTGCTCGAACTATCGATATAATAGACAGTTCAGAAAATAATTTTCAGTTTCCTCATCATGTTCTTGCGTTCGAAAAGTACAGGAATTGATAGCGCTGAACGATGACTTGTTCTCTGCCCTTGGACTGTCACCTCCAGGACAAGCAGTACTATTTAACATTACAGTAGGAGTGTAAAAAGGTAGTCATAAGTAAGAAAATACATGCGAATAGTTTATGTCTCGATAGTGCGATACAAGGACCATGTGGTTAATCCGATCATATTTGTAATTGGATCGTCAAGAAGGGTTTGCATTCAATCCGTTTCTAAGGAAAGTGTTCACCAGTCGATGTTTCCGTGGTTCAACCATACAGGGCAGCCGAGGTGTGTAGCAATGGAGCAATGGTTTATGATGGGTATACAAGCGAATACTTGACATATCCCAAATGATGGTTAGAGTGACAATTACAAAAACAAATAAAAATCAGCGCCAGTAAAAGAATGCGTGAAATACAGGATTTATCAAAGTGTTTGGAGTAACTCAAGCGCAAGTAGGGTTATGACACCGTCCACTGTTTGTTGTGCATTAATGCCGGCATCTGATATTCATGGGCTATATCACGTAGTGTAAATGTGCAGGGTATCGTCATGGAGTTTTTGGAAAAGAGGTAAGGTGTGGGCATTAATTACATGCGCCAGGAGGGCGTTCCATGGCTGTGACACTCGGACAGAGATAAAGTTTCGTTCACATTCCAGTCGGCTGTACTGCGTGACCGGCTTCAACTGATGACTCCTTAGAGATGTGTTTTGACAGAGTTTCAAAAGAATATGGCATTTGTGGTTGGGGGTTCTCAGGATCTGATATGCCATTATGAGACCACCCCTTAGACGTTGATAACATCCGCTGTATATTTTGAGGGTTTCCAGCCTGAATGGGTAGGGAAGGCAGGACAAACCTCCGACATTCTTTATGGCCATGTGTTGTGCCGTAAAGAGCGAGGTGAGATGGTACTACAGCCAGGATTGCCACGCTTAGACAGCATATTCAGCACGCGACCTCACGTACGTGTTTTCGGAAAGACCAAGGCGTCTAACTTCCCGAACGCTCTAAGAAGAAGGCCGAAGTGCCGGTTTGCATTCGTTGATATCTTTTCAGTCTGTCTCAAACAACCGAGGTCATCTTGAACAAGCACGCCGAGATCGCACTCATGAGAAGCCCGCTGTAGTATTTGTGGTCCCAGGCGGTAGTTGTGAATACTCTGATGCCGTATGCTGAGAACTTTGCACTTGGTGGCGTTGAAATGCAGCATGTTCTCGATGGACCATGTGTACGCTTTGTCCAGGTCATCCTGTAAGGCTGTGTGGTCCTCCACTCTAGCTGCAGCACACCATGTCTTTAGATCATCGGCAACTAGCAGGCAGTTTGAAGATAGCACGCTCGCGAGATCATTTATGGAGACCAGGAACAGGCGGGGTCTGAGTACCGAGCCCTGAGGTACGCCGCACTGAACTTCGATTGGTTCCGATAGGGTGCTGCGAACCCTCACATTCAGGTGACGTTGAACGAGAAAGTCGCCTATCCAGCCCAGAACGGGATCTCCGATTCCATATTTCTGGAGTTTGTGCAGTAGAATGCGATGGTCTAGACGGTCGAATGCTTTTGAGAAATCCGGGTAGGCCGCATCGACTTCTACACCAGCATGCACGAGCGATCAACAGCTTTGTAGTACAGGACCGATTTTGGCGAAATCCGTTCTGCTCCGGAACAAGAATTTTGTTGTTCTCCAGCTACCCCATAAACGCTTCAGCTACAGTGGACTCCATAACACTGGAGATCACCGGAACTAGTGTTATCGGACGATAATTTTCTGGTTCAGCACGGCTACCACTTTTGTAGATTGGAGTGATGATCCTACTTCCACCTCGTGGGGACGTACATCTCGTTAAGACATCGCTGAAAGAGATTTGCTAGCGGCTCCTCTAGACTCATGGCAGCAACTTTCAATGCCTTCGGGTGAACGCCGTCCGCACCAGGAGAGCTGTACTCGCGCAATGACATCAGCCCCTTCAGTACAGCTGTGGAAGTAAACGATATGTGAGTAAGTCTAATGGTAGCATGATTGCGTAGCAGAATGTAAGTTGATTGCACCTTTGGAAGGTATGGTCAAATAGTTGTCCAAGAACGTTGGCCGCCTCTGCGCCGTTTGTGCTAACCTGCATACTGTGTGCAGAGCAGGAATTCCGCGTTTAAACCCGGCGCAGTTTGTTTACGTGTCTGTATAGCAGCTTGGGATTAAAGCAAAATTTTTCCACCAAGTCTTGTTGCTTCTTTACTTTATCCTTCCGGACGAGTTTGACACAGTGGGTCCTTTGTGTTGTCTAGACATCCCAGATATCCTCGTTCGGAGAGGCTACGTAGATGAGCCATGTCAAGCCCTCAATGCTATGCATTTACGTGACCTACCCTTACAAAAGAGTTTACCTTTTTAGGTCGGTGGATTTTGGTTTCAGATGTGCTTACCATTAGCGCGTTGAATCTGTTGACGAATTCTCCGCAGGCCACCTCAGGGGACCATTCGGCTAGGAACGACCAACTTGTTGCATCAATGAGGTCGGCCAAATCATCATAGTTGGTTACGACGTGAGATTCCTCGGCATGCGCCTTAGGATACTCCGCGCTTTGTAAAGTAACGCAGTACATTTTCGGTTATGTTCTATCACGTTTTCTCAGGTTGGAGTATATTAATGGGCAATATTCCTGTAGGGGACGAATACTGGTTTTATACAGGTAGACTTTAGATGCATCCAAACTAAGGGAGTATAGTATTAGCCCCCTAGTTTACAGGCTTCTGCGACAGTGTACTGCACCTGTTCGGCGAAATCGAAGGAGCTCGAGTAGTACGTCCCAAGATCACAAGTTGTGCGGCAGATGGACGGTGCTTTGCCATCCAGCATCAAACAAGTAACCCGTGCCTTACGACAATTTACTGGATCCACTGTTGCAGTCGAGAAACTTACGCCTGTGTATGCTTGCGACAACCGAATCAATCGGTAATCGGTTGCTCCAACCTGCATTATGCTTCCAGAAGGAATTGATCCTGGCTCCACAACTACCTTGGCGTCGTCGTGACGTTTCACTCTCGATAAAGGACAGGGTCTACAATGCCTGTTGTTCGCACAATACTTTTGTAAGGAAGTGAGCCATGGCCGATCTGTCTAAATGACTTGCGTCGGATTTCGGCCTGCGACAACGGTTGTCTGTGGAGGATATCTCATGGGTCTTAGGAACACCATGTTTACAACAACGATGTTAAATCTGTCGCCTTAGTTAATACGGGCATCCCTCTCGACAAGCTAATACCGCTGCGCTAACTGACGTCACCATATCAGTTTCTGCGTAA